GGGGGCTACCAATTGCTCCTGTCAACAATTCAAGGTACACAAGTTTTTATCCATTATATTGAAGGGTCCACTCCACAGTTGGTAAAGCACAAAGTTCTTAACCTTGTGGACGTGGGTTCAAGCCCCATGATGGGAGTTACATCATATGATGTTATTTAAAATGAAGTATATAAAGTCACAGCTCAATATTATCTTACTGAACCGGCCCTTGGGGGCTACACTGATTGAAGTTTTTATAAGCAATTACAAGTCCCAGGTTGCTGCAAGCATGACAACCCGGCACTTGGGGGCTACATATATGGAGTATTCAGTTTATATAATTGAGATGAACAAACCGGATTTCTTCAAGGTTGAAACACTTATTGGAGCAAGTCTTAAGTTATCACTATGTTCTCCTCTTAAGACTTGGGGGCTACAGGTATTATGCATATAAAGAAGGAACATCTTCATTTTATCAGTTTTGAGCAAATCAGGAAGATCAATTACATGACACGGTGTCGACAAAAATTATGACCCGGCGCCATCAATATTTATAAACCGGCCATTTTGGTAATATTAAACTGACAAGTTTTACATCTTCAAACCGGCTGAATATCAGATAAGTATTCTCAGACCCATATTTCTTAAACTGACGCTTTGGGAGCTGAGTCAAAGGAGTTATTCTTCACAATATTTCTCGATGACAAACCAATGTCGGCAAATTGATTATGAAGCTGGTCTGTTGACCCGAATTTCCCAGAAGGAGGAAATAACAAGAACTTAAGGATGATCAGGTACCGGTTTACAAAACTTCTTAACCCGGAGCATAACCTGTCAAATTTGTTCTTGTGTTTATTTTGCAGCATAAGTTTACCATGAATAAATCCAAGCTAAACTTGGGGGCTAATGTCGGGGATATACCCCGCAGCATAAACCGGCCGCAAGTTAACCCGGCCAGGACTTGGCGGTTTATCTAAAGACCCCGCTGACACTTGGCGAGTTACTGGCGACCCGCCCTGACCTGGCGGTTTACAAGCAACCCACCTGGTCATTATAACTCACTGGTGATCCGGCATGCGGGACAGACGAATGACAAGGCCCAAGGCCCAGAAGGCCGATTCACGCTTAATGGTGGGCCGGTTTAAGAAGAAAGGCATGAGGAACGTTTATCTTAGAAGGAGTTAAGACCTGGACTTGTATCTGGTTTGTATTAAAGATAGACTAGTCCTAATCCTAATAGGACTCCACACGTAAACCGCCCCTTCAACATATATAAGGAGGGGCAGGGCACCCCAAGAGGGACAGGATTCACAAGTTACACAAGTTCGACAAGTTAGGTTTAAACAATAGCTCTCGAGTTAGAGCACTCCTGTAACCGTGATCATCATCATCATCAATATCAATGAAGCAGGATGTAGGCTTTTACCTCCACCGTGAGGGGCCGAACCTGGGTAAAACATCGCGTCTCTCGTCCCTCTCAACCCCTCTCAAGCTACCACATAGATGCGTTGGCCTCGCGACTAAGTCCTGACACTAAGGACATCTGCCGTGACAATTCCACGACACGCGCGGTACTACCGCGCCCCCCATGCGGTACTACCACAAGGCAAAAGTCCCAGCCAGGGGGAAGGGGAACTTCCGTGCCTACTTCCGCAAATGAACGGAAGTAGCAAAAACCCGACACAGTAGTACTGCTGAGGGGCGATACTACTGCCTGACCGCATAGCGCGGTACTACCGCACGACGAAAGCGGTACTACCGCGGCAGGTGCGGATGTAAAAAATTACATCCGCTCCTACTACCGCAAAGGGGCGGCACTAGCCTGGTGGGCAGTGGTAGTGCGGCTCCAGGGGAGCGGTACTACTGTGAGCACCAGCAGCCAGTCAAAGGAGGCAGGAAAAACGGAGGAAGCTCCAAGGAAGAAGGAGGGGATAAAAGGAGACGTGTACGTGATGATTCCACCCAAACCTTTCCAACGCGGACCCCCTCTTAATAGTATGGCTTTCCTACGACTCAAATCCACCAAAAAGAAACGTAGAAAAGATGCCGTCTTCGTTAGTCTTCGAGGGGCACCCAATCGTCTTGTGCCTAGCAAAGAAGTGTCTGGAAAACTCATGGCACACGATTAGTTCGCAAATGCGTTGTCATCAATCACCAAAACACTTAGGGATAAATATGTCCTTACACCAGTCCCAGCACGCTGATTCGTTGAAAACGGCGTCGCGAGTAACGTGCACTCGCTTGTCCACGGGGTCGTAGACGCGCCACGCCTTGGACTGTCCGTGCTCGTACCCGATGAAGACAGTGCGCAGGCTGCGGTCGTCTAGCTTCTTGAGGTCTGGGCGTGTCACCTTGGCGTGTGTGACACACCCAAACGTGCGGAAGTATCTCACTGTCGGCTTGTCGCCGTGCCATGCTTCATATGGCGTCATGCCGCGCACCGCCTTCGTGGGCGCGCAGTTCAGCAGGTGCACGGCGGTGGTCACCGCCTCCCCCCAGAACTCGTTCGGCACTTCTTTCGCCTTCAGAAGACACCGTGCCGTCCTGACGACGGTCTGGTTCCAGTGCTCTACGACGCCGTTTTGCTGCGGCGAGTACGGGGCAGTGAGCTGCCGGCGTACGCCACGGTCAGCGCAGTACTCCCCGAACTCTGTTGAGGTGAACTCGCCGCCCCTGTCAGTTCGGAGCGCGCGCAGCTTGACGGAGGTCTCCACCTCGACGCCGTCCTGCCAGCGCTTGATCGCCGCGGGTGCCTCGTCTTTCCTGCTCAGGAGCACGATCCACATGTAGCGTGACTTGTCATCCATGAGCAACAGAAAGTACCTTTTCCGTCCGTGCGCCGGCGGCGAGATCGGGCCGCACAGATCACCGTGGACCAAATCCAGGCGATCGCCGGCTCGGTAGTTCGCCTCCGTGGGGAATGGGGCGCGGTGCTGCTTGCCGACAAGGCAGCTATCGCAGACCTGATCGGCGTGCTCGACCAGGGGCTTGCCGCGTACCATGCCGTCCTGGGCCAGCTTCCGGAGCGCGTCGAAGTTCAGGTGGCCGTAGCGCGCGTGCCAGCGCCACGCGTCCTCACCAGCCATGGCCGTTAAGCACACGGGCCGCGTGATCTCCAGCTCGACGGTGTAGAGGCGGTTCCTCGATCTGTATACATTGGCGATGATGTTCTCCTGACGATCGCGCACCACCATCATGCCGCTCCGCACCAGAGCAGTGCAGCCCGCCTCGTCCAGCTGTCCGACGGAGATGATCGAGGTACGTAGTTGAGGTATGAAGTATACTTTTGAAAGCACACGGTGACGTCCTCCGTGAGCGACGAAGACCGCCGTCCCGCGCCCCTCGATCTCGACCACCGACCCGTCACCGAAACGAACCGTGCCGGCGACGTGGCGATCTAGCTTCGAGAAGACGGTGGAATTGCCCGTCATGTGGTTTGATGGTGTCTATATGCCAGACAGGTTCCTTGGTGTCGCCGGCGGCCCCGAGGCTGACCTCAGCGCCCTCCTCGTGAAGATGCACGAGCTGATCGCCGCGCGCGTCCAGTTCGTGCTCTGCAGGCAGTGGCGTCACGTGCGCCATGAGGAGCGTAGGATCCTCGTCCTCTATTGCCGCGAGGTGCGCCTCGCCGCCGCCCTCGTCCTTCATCTTCTTGCGGCACTCGCGAGCCCAGTGGCCGCTAATACCGTAGTAGCGGCAGTTGCCGGAGCGCTTGGGTCCATCTTTTCCGCCGCCCGGGCGGGCGGCACCCTTGCCGCGGTCGCCGTGGGCCTTTCCATGCCCCTTCTTGCCGCCATTGGCCCCCCCGCTAGAGGACCCGCCTTGATCACCGCGCCCGACCCGCGTGTTCCACTCCTCCAGAGTGAGCAGGAGCTTGCTGCCGCCCTCCTTTTCGGCGTCCAGCTCGTACCGCTCCTCGGCCGCCTTGAAACGACCGATAATTTCCTCGATCGATGTCGTGTCCAGGTCGACCAGGTTGTCGATGGAGACCGCGAGCTGCGAGTACCGCTTGGGCACGATTCGCAGCCACTTCTGGATCACGCGCTTGTCGCTGATTGCGTCTCCAAGCTCGCCGAGGCGCGCGCACATCCCTGTGAGGCACATGGCCAGATCATCAATGGACTCACCGGGTTTGTGTCGCAGCTGATCGAATTCTCCCCGCAGGGTCTGGGCCTTCACATCTCGGACGCGCGCGGAGCCCGCGCGCATGGCGCGGATCGCCTCCCACAGCTCTTGGGAGGTCTGGTGCTTGCGCAGCATGGGCAGTATCTCAGGGGGCACCGATCGGAGGATGAACTCCATCGCGCCCTTGTCGTTGCGGTACCCGTACTCGTCGTCAAGATCCTCCGGCCCAGGATCGCGCGCCACATCCCTCTTGCCTGCATCCGGACCTCCATGAGGAGGCTCCACTCGGCGTAGTTCGTGCGGGTCAATGGTGGCACGTTGGCGTGACCCGACACGACCGGAGCGAACTGCCTCGCCACCGCCAGCTCGCGCCCTTGGCCGGCTGCGGACTTTGGCGAGCCTTTGCTACCGTCGTCGTCGGCGTTCCCCGCCTTCTTCTTGCCATCATCACCTGCCATCACAGGATCCTAGCAAACGGGGCTCTGATGCCACTTATCAGACCTAGCGCTCGAGCTCACACGAGAGAGACAGAGGAAGACCATGATGTTTTTGTGCCGCGTTTAACCTCGCAGCTTTTCTGCTCTGTATTTCTCTTCTTATTTAGCTATTACAACGCTAACTGAAACCGGAAAATAAGCCACGCCTGGGTCATGAGCACTGCCATCCCAGCGCTCCCCGCGCATCACTCGCGATGTGGCCATGACCATCTTGTTCGTGCCATCCCACGATCGGGTCAGGGCCGCGGAGAAACCTAACAAACTACGACCGAGACGCAGCTCGGATTATTTGAACTGAAAACAAGTTTCTCTGACGAAACTGACGGAGACCAAAACTACACCTATATCTGTAGAAACTGAAAACGAACTTCTCCAGCTGATTAACTGACAGCTGTCCGCTCACTTCATGTCCGTCAGCTGCTCCAGCCCCCCTGCCACGCGCTCTTTCCAGCTGCTGCACGCCGTAGCCTTCTTCTCCAGCACCGCTTTCACTTCCATGGCAGCGGCCGCTGCTTTGGCTTTCTCTTCCTCGATGCGCCGTATCACTCCCGCTGCCAGGTTCTCCTGGTCAACCAGCGCTTTGGCTTTCTCGCCGTCGGCAAACTCCGGCTTCGGTGCCGGCTGCTGCTGCTGCTTCTGCTTGGTTTTGGTGGCGGCAGCCATGAGGAAGCGTTGGCAAGGAATCGTGGTGGACGCTGTGATGGATGGATTGGCTGGTTGATGGTGGTTGTGAATTGTGATCGAGAGAGGTGAGATGAGATGGGAAGGTTGGCATGATGCATCGTGTATATATTTAGGTGCTTGGCATGGCATGGTAATGGATGGAAATGGAATGTATGGTTGATTCAAAACTTGCAAAAGGAGCAAACCTTTGGTTGGAATTAATCAGGCGTACGTTCACGTGTAAAGAGGACGTGAGGCTACATCCATGCAGTCATGTGTGAGGAAAGGTTTAGGGATCTTTGTGCGGGTTGCTAGCTATGGATCTTTGGAGGGAAGCTAGCTATGGACGTTGCTACAAGATGAAGGTTGGGCTGGGCGTGGCCGGTGGCGGTGCCGGCGGCGGCGTTCAGCCCGGATCCGGTCTTGGCCGACGGCTGACCCGGATCCGACCATGGTGGTGGCGGCATTGCCTCTACCGGGGATGACGGGCCATGTGGTGGGTCCTTCTGGCGGCACCGTTGGCGGCGGATCTTCGGATCCCGTGTCCGGGCGTGGCGGCCAAAGCTTCCTCCGGTGTCGACGGCGCTTGATGCGGGATCGCGGCGGCGGTTGCCGTTGTATGGGTGACGACATCAGCTGGCGCGACAGTGGGTGCTCCATGTAGCGCCTGGAATCGGGGCGGCTGCCCCACTTCATCAGCGGCAGCGGATTCCGGGGTCGTGCGGTCGACTAGGAGTCCGGATCTCGAGATGGTGACGGCCTTCTGAGGCTGGTGGCGGTATGGGACGTCCCTTTCATCAATAGACCCGGTTCGATGCAATTCGGCGGGTGAAACATGTGCCTCTTTCGGAGTTGTCAGGCGGTGCCTGTCATCGGCAAGTGAAGCCACCGGTGGATGTGCTACCGGCGGTTGCTACGCACGACGTCTTATATGAAGACGTCAAGTCGTGCCTGTTACCAACAGGTGATGCACGGTGGCTCTAGTGGAGGTGTCAAGTTTAGCCTGTTGTTGTTGGATCGAAGGTGGTGCGACAGTAGCAGGAGGCAGGCGGTATGGGACGTCTTTGTTTTTCATGTCTCCTCGAGAGGTATCCAGCTATCGAAGCGTTGGTAGCTCGATAAGGGCGGATGGTACATACGACTTCAACGACGAGTTTTTGCATTCCGGTGAAAACACAAGATCTCCGATCGCTATGTCGTCGCGCGCCTGCGTCGTGTCCTTATGAAGGTGGTGGATTGAAGCTTTGCTTTGGGGATGAGAATCCGAAGTTCAACCTTGTGGTGGACTCTCCATCATCGGTACACATGCGGTGATTCCTTCTTGAAGGCGTAGCCTAGGAGTTGTATTGTTTTCTTTTATGTTGTGTCTTGTATCATAGGGTTAATTAGTGGCTACCTGGGGGAGTTACTGTCGCGAGGTATACAGCCTCAGGGTTTGTTTTTCACTTTCTTTCTGGGTCAATGATGTTCGGCTGCTGGATTTTACAATATTAATAATATATGGTTGCATGCATCGTTCTGATGTAGAGGCCGGGGAATATACTCCTTTTCAATAAAAAAATATTTCACCAATGAAAATGCCAAGATTTTACAAACTTCGGTTCTACCAGATATGATGATTGACTTCATGTTTTTAGTGTCAATATACATATTTTACTTGCACAAATTACTTTACATGTTCTGCTGTGTCACTGTACACTTTAATCACACAACTATGTATCTTTACTCCAGTACATATTTATCCATTGTTCGTATGTGTGGTGCTCACTTCCTGAATAACTTGTGAGAGACGAAGAAGCCGAGCGAGAAAGCAGCGATGGCTATGGCGACCACCTCCTTGTTGTTCCATGCCTTCTCCACCACGCTGTCCGCCCACTTCATGTCTGTCAGCTGCTCCAGCCCCCCTGCCACGCGCTCTTTCCAGCCGCTGCATGCCGTGGCCTTCTTCTCCAGCACCGCTTTGGCTTCCACGGCAGCGGCCGCAGCTTTGGCTTTCCCTTCCTCGGTGCCCCGTATCACTCCCGCTGCCAGGTTCTCGACCACCGCTTTGGCTTTCTCGCCGTTGGCAAACTCCGGCATCGGTTGCGGCTGCTTCTGCTTGGTGTTGGTGGCGGCCGCCATGAGGAAGCGTAGGCAGGGGATCGTGGTGGACGCTGTGATGGATGGATTGGCTGGTTGACGGTGGTTTGAATTGTGATCGAGAGAGCTAGGTGAGATGAGATGGGAAGGTTGGCATGATGCATCGTGTATATATTTAGGTGATGGATGGAAACGGAATGTATGTTTGATTCAAAACTTGCAAAAGGAGCAAAATCTTTGGTTGGAATTAATCAGGCGTACGTTCACGTGTAAAGAGGACGTGAGGCTACATTCATGGACTCATGTGTGAGGAAAGGTTTAGGGATGTTTGTGCGGGAGGCTAAATGGATCTGGTGGGAAGCTATAGCTATGGAGGTGAAGAAAGGAAGAAAGAATGCTTGCTATGTATGGTAATCGTGGCAGCCAAGCTAGCTCAATCAATCGCCGACCGCACAAGGCCACCTTGTTCACATCTATCGGAACGTCATCGAAAAAAAAAACAGCGCAACTTGAGAAAAGTGTAATCTTAGCGTGCAAGGCAGACCCCTCAGAATTTAGATTATAATATAATCTCCCTATAATCTTTCTCAAGTTTATCACTCACTTATTACTCCCTTAGTTTCATATGCAATGTAGTGCCCTTAGATTTTTCTAAAAGTCAAACTTTAGTAATATAAAAATACGTGTCAGGGTGTATCTAATGATATGGATTTTGTACTCTAGATGTAAATAAAACTTCTCTACAAACTTGCTCAAATTTTATAAAGTTTGACAACTGATCATCATATGTAACAGTACGACGGGTTGATGAGATAATCCATTTGGACTCATGTAATCGTTATGATACGTGTCAGGGTGTATCTCATGATATGGATTTTTTACTCTAGATGTTTTTTTTTTCGAAAAGGGGGTATTGCCCCAGCCTCTGCATTTGAATGATGCATACGGATAATATTATTAAAAAGCAAAATATCCAACATCAGTATCCAAGTCTCGACTAATAAATGTAAAAGGCTCCACCAGAGCTAAACAGAAATAAGGAAAAGCCACAACCGGCTGGCATAAAAAGAATAGCACTACATGCCTATCCTATTACATGACCGTCATCCAAACCAGTTGAAATTTTTTACTCTAGATGTAAATAAAATTTCTCTACAAACTTGCTCAAATTTTATAAAGTTTGACAACTGATCATCATATGTAACTGTATGATGGGTTGATGAGATAATCCATTTGGATCATGTAATCGTTATGATGCAATCTAGACATTTTAATCGCATTTCAAAATCTATCACCTCAATTGTTGACGCACCGTGCACACCATCGATGACAGAAACCAATGCCCCAACCTCACTAGAGCTTGAAGCGTCCTCCTCCACCATTGCAAATGGCGCCGACCGTGCCTCCTCTCCTCCCCTCCCCTCCCCACTCCATTAAACTCGACCTTACCACAACCAAGATTTTTTATTATTGATAAACTTTGTTGCGGTGTTCATCGTGGAAACTGAATGGCACTCCATAACCAATATTTAGACGGGAAATAATTGACTATTAATTTTGTTTGATGCTGCTATGAATATGAAATCCGGAATCACCACCCGAGCGAAGGGGGTGGAGATTTGACCCATATTTGACTCCATGTTTTGTGTGACTCTTCTAGTAGAGATGACATCCCTGTTGATAGTAAGGCAAACACAACACACATCACACAAGGCTTTCTTCAACAAAACATAGTGTCCGCGTCAAACTTTTGCTAGTCCAAACAGAAGAGACATACTCTGCTAAAAACTTAAAACATGCCCACCCCAAGGCGACCAACCCTTAGAGACTGGTTTTAAAGTAGTTAAAAATGCCACAAATACATAAGGATTGTGATAGTGTCCTACCGTTCCGAATTTAACCAACAAAACCGAGCGACCATTCGTAGCTCCATGAGTGCATGCAATTGGATTTTCTTCACATGTGTGATTATTAGTGCATCTCTTTCATCATGTAGGTGCGCATGCCACTTATTAGAAAGCCTAATTACATGCACGCATGTAAGGCGAAACCGATGACATCTCTTTAGATTCTCTTGTATTTCAAAACTTTAAAATATTTTGTAGCTCAAATCGTCTGATACAAAAACTACTTTTACATAAAAGATTCTTCGCGACAAGATCTTTAAAACTAGACCCCATGTTGGTACGTTCCGACACATTTTTGAGTAAAAACTTACCACAGGTGTATTACGCAAGTTATCATGCTAGTTGAGCATATGTTATCATGTTGATTACACAGAAACTACTGGGGCATAAAAATTGTTCCTCCCGTCTTCTCTTCGTATGGACATGTGTGCATGCAGTAGAGGTAAAATTTGATGTCATCTTAGATTCTCATATATTTTGAAACTTTAAAATATTTTATAGCTTAAACCATCAATCCCATAGAAAAATCGTTTTCACAAAAACAAATTTGTTGTGATGAGATCTACGAAATTAGATCTCATGTTGATATGTTTTGACGACTTTTCTTCATGTAAATAATTACCAGGCATGGGTTAAGTAAGTTATCAGCTCTGATATGTGTATATATTATCATGCTATTTACACATGAGTTGCCGTGGTACATTTTGAACAACTTTTTTTGGGGCAAAGTTATCATGGTGTTTGTGCGTGAGTTACCATGCCTACGATCCATATGTTACCATGCTATCTACAGATAAGTTATCGAGGGTATGTTTTCAAAAAACTTTCTTCCCTAGGGTCAAAGTTATCACAGTGTTTATACGTGAGTTATCAAGTCTACAGTGCACATATTATTGTGCTATTTACATGGAGGTTATCGC